TACAGCGGGGGACGGAGCCGGCGGGAAGTTCAAACATGACATTTACACAGAATACAATGTAATCTGCTATAATTACACATATTTATCAAACTATTTCACTTCAATTTTGTTCAGTGCCCTGCCTGCACTTTTACTGTACTCTATTGACTGTGGTACGGATCAGCAGCACCCCCAGAATTCCCATTATACATGTAAACCAAAACACTGAAATCTCATACAAGCTTTTAGCATGTTAATGTAATTTAACAAAAGTAATTTTCATTTTTTTTTCTGCAGTTTTCATTAAAATAAATCCCTGGTAATCCTGCCATGATCCACTTTTATCACCATCAAGAAACCCACCCAGAGAAATGTCATGGAGCTATCACTTAAGTGCATGAATGTAGACAAGAAGTGGCTGTAGGAAATCAGAAGTGCTGAGATTCAACAAAGGATGAAAAAAGGCTCTGAAGCTGCAATCATCAGCTCCTGTGAATCTCTACACAATATTATCTACAGATGCTGAGTCTCTTCTGCTCAAGGTACCTCTTTACTTTATACCTGTCTCTGTTCCTCCATATTGTAAGGAATTTATCTGGTGAACACTAGACAACACCCTCCATTAAGGTTAATCCTCTTGCTTCCTAAATTTTAAATTGTTCCAAACGCAGAGCATTAGTCTTCCTTTTCTATAAAATAGCTCCACCAGATTCAATTGAAACTGTTCCACCAAGCACAATATACATCAGCCAGACTTAAACTAGGTCCTTCCAACTTGTCCATGGATGTCGTTGGACCGGTTATCCAAAACTTCTGATCAGAGATTAATTACTTAATTTCCATAGCCCCAGGGTCTCCCTATATGTACTGAAAATAAAACTGCCTCTTAGATAATTGTAAATCTCCCATAATGCCTAACACCGCCATTACTCTAACACTTTCAGGGTTATTCACAAAAGGGTGAAGAGTTTGGAGAAGGCAGGAGAAGTGAACAGCCTAGGCTAAAATAGCTTATTTGGAAAAATTCTCCAATTCATCACACTTTCAGTTCAGCTATTTTGTCCTAGATTGGAGAAGGCAGGAGAACTGAACTCTTCACCCTTTTGTGAATAACCCTGTTTATTTTTATGCCAAAAAATTAATCCTAACGACATGGAAGAAACCATCCTTAAACATATGTAAAAATATGATAATTTCCAACCTACCTTCTAACCTATAATGTATGTGATAATTTATGTAATTGGATTACAACACATGGCAGAATGGAATTTGAGATACCTCGAGTTGTATTGTTATAGTTTCAACAATTGCACATCTTATAACCGTTAAAAATATGTCCCTGGCGGTATTCGAGTGTGGCTCGGGGTTAATTTTCAGTACCAAAAGCTGTAACCCTTAAGCCACACTCGGGATTGCGCAAAAGTGTCCATAGATGTAAAATATATATATATATATATTTCATATTGGATAAATGTGTATTTTGGTGGTATGGAATGTAACAATATTGTGTTCAAATAATTCTTTTTTTGTAGGACTTGCCATGTAACTTGGATAATAAATGTTTTTTTGTACCAATAAATTGTTTATATATCCCAGAGGCATATTTTTTGTTATGTAAATTGCTTTCAACTATACCTGTTCCCACTAATGAGCTACATTGCAATGTGTTGTAGAAAAGTGCTGCATGATGCATTTTGGATATGCAGATCTTCAGTTTGATATTCAAAGGATATCTATATTTAGAGCTATACGGAGGCTTTTACTTTAATTGGATAAAGACTTTCAAAGACGTATCACATGTAGTCTTAGAACACACAGCAAGGCACATACTGGGAGAATAAACTCATCTAGAAAGCCAGTTACCTCTGGGAATTTGTAATAATCAGAATCTTCACTTACCAAATTGCTCTATCAGTGAGTTACTTCAGTGCAGATCAGACAGGAACTTATTTCCTGCCTGAGATCAGTGCCAATAACAGACACTTAAAAAAAGGTAGACTAGGTTTACATGACTGAAAGGTAAAAGCTTTATTAATTGGCAGATTTACCCTTCTTCAGCAACCTAAAGGGAGTGCCTGTCTTCAGCACTGGGAAGAAGCAGGTCCTACAGGGACCCACAGCCACACGCTGAGCCTATACAGCAATGCCCTGAGCAAGAAGCAAAGCAGCCTAATGGAAAGTTACTTAATGGAAATATGGAGGTCGCTATTGCTCACATCTTCTGAAAATGCTAGTGGCCTGACTGGCATGCTGATCCACTTATTTAAAATAGGTTAGTTTTTAACAAAAAATCCTGCATGGGTTTTTCCACCCTTCTCCTATCTATTATGCCCTCACAGACAGATGCAAGGCGGATCTGCTCTCTATTTTGCAGCCCTCTACCACAAGCCAGGTTAACCTCTATTGTTCTGCTGGTGGCCTGTGCTGCAGTCACACTTACAAGTGCTATAGAAATTAATGAGAGAGCCGACACAGCTCTCCTATTTATTAATATGGAACTTGTTGTCATGCCTGTACACTGCAGGATGGGCGTCCAGTGGAAAAATAGATATAACATTGACCGGCGTAATAGAGGTCCAGGCACTGAGCCAGGTTTATGGTTCATCTGGCTCAACAGGTTCATGATGCATCGGAGATCTCTCTAGGGGCATAATTGATAGGACTGGTATACAGAAACCTACACAGGGTTCTTAGATAACAAGTGAACTTTTATATACTTTTGTCCCTACATACTAGTCAATGACTTCTGAATATTAAGTAAGGACACCCCTTCAACACAAGTCTGCAGCAGCAGCTCTTACTTAATAAACGTATTCAGTGTGGAACGGTGTGTGGCCAAATTCTTCCTTTACCATATACTGTATTTTCTGGCGTATAAGACGACTTTTTATACTTAAAAACATCCCCCCGAAAATCGGGGTTCGTCTTGTACGCCGGGTATACAATGTGAACTTTGTGCGGTAATACTGTATGTACGGTGGCTTTGGCTACATACAGTATACCGCGCTGAGCCAATCACGGCGAGCGATGTACACATCCTCTGCCAATCCGAACAGGCTTTGTATTCATTAATAGAATACATCGCTCGCCGTGATTGGCTCAGCGCGGTATACTGTATGTAGCTGAAGCTACCGTACATACAGTATTATCGCACATCCAGCGGGCTGTCAGATTAGTGGGTGTATTTGGCTGGTAGACAAGACCCTATCATGGCTCCAGCAAGAAGGAAATATGAAGCCTCGGAAGGGGGGGTTGTCTTATACAACGAGTATAGACCAAAACCTATGTTTTAACTGGAAAATTAAGGCATCCCCTTATACACCCAGTCGGCTTATACGCCAAAAAAAACAGTACCTGTTTGGTTGGAGCGGGGACACACTCCTGCTGGCGAGCACCCAGCTGTCTTTCTGCTGCTAAAGCCGTGGAGAAGCAGTGTTTTATATCTATGCTTTGATGAAATATCATATGCTTCACTAAAGGAAATATGTTGCCCGCGGCAACCTATTTGCATCTTTCCTAGCCTGTTCTGTCTTGTACTAGAAAAATGAGAGCTGGAAACCGATTGGATGAGCAACATCGGCATGTTCATATTGTAACGCTGGGTAACAACTATAAGCTGGTGGGTTTAAAGTTTTATGAAACTAAGCCCCAGGAACCAAATCTATCAATCATTCTTCCCACAGGAAGCGCAAGATGTGTACTCTCCTTTCTGATGCCAGCATTCAGAACTACAGGAATATGTACATATCACACAGTTCTAATGGGGAAAAATGCATTTGTATCTGCTGTCTTGGTGTGGTCATCATATAAAGCCACATGGTGACCATACTTATAGCATGTATAGATTGCCAATGTATGTACAGTTGGTACCGGGAACAGTATAGTTTCAGGAAGTAAACATAAACGTCAGTCTGTCTATCTCATATACAGATTAAAGAACGGGATGAGAATATGATATCTTACATAAATATCTTCTACATAGCTCATTTCTTTATATAATATTTCATACAATACATAATACAATGACATTTATAGAATACATAACGTGTATTCTATAAAATTCATAAGCAGATGTTTCTGAATGATTGCTTTTCAACTTTTCGCAATCTGAAAAGCTTTCATCCTAATTAACTCATTAAGACAAAAAAGGACAATTACATTTTAATGCATGAAAGTTAAATAAAAAGGAGGGTTTAAAGGCTCTTTTGTGGTTTGAAATACCCCGTAGGTTGCAGCTCTTATCTGCAGAATGCATTTATTACATTACAGTAAATACAGTACAGATCTACTGTATTCGCATTTAACCCACTAATTTCCGGACGATTCTTTCCACTGTTCTGTCTTATTACCGTCTGAAGACAACCACTGAGAATTATTCAGGGCAGCAGCATGCAGATCTTTTTTTTTATTAAAAGCAAGCAACGCTGGAAGAGAAATAATCATCAGTGCCTTAGATACCAAGGAAACAAGCTGGACTACTTTTACACGATATTGATGCAGCCTGTATTTCAGTCCTTGGCATGAAAGATCTCTATGACAATACTACTCATTAATGAAAGGGAATGTTGACACATTAACTGCCTAAAAACAGAATGACTTAGCTGCTCTCTGTTGTCATTCATTCTACCCAAGACAGATGCGTTAGTTATGGATGGACCCCGGAGGGCTGCATTACCTTGTCATTTCTTGAGCTCTCCGGAAAAAGATTTTCCTGTCAGGGTTGACGGCTCTGTTCTTTCTGACCCTGAAGTCCCATGTCTACTGTAGACGGACTCTCACCTGTTCTACTGTATTCAGAGCAAGATGCCCTCATGGGTGACCCAGGAATAGTGACGAGATCTTGGTGCTGAAGGCTCCAACAGAGGCAGGCGGATAATGAAACCTACCAGCATCTACCCAGAACTAAAATATCAGTTTCAGATAGAGTTTCATTTTAAAGCAAGCTCCATGACTGTGAGATTTGCAAATCAAATTGCATATGACATCCATGGCACACCTGTAGGCATTACATTGGCACTGACCTGAATTTGCAGTGGTACCAGGCGGACTTTACACCTGTCGCTGACCACAAAGCCTTTGGGTAGGTCGATGTACTGCCCCCATTCCTCAGCGAAGAGCTGCACAACAAACTTCCGATGCATGTCGATCTGATCCCCGTACAGGTTGAGGAACTTCTGGATCAAGACTTCATAGCCGGTGCCGTGTGGCACAGAAGAAGGCCGGGCAAACACGGAGAAGCAGAATAGAACGGGCACACTGCTGCTGCTGCCACCACAACTCCCTAGTGCTCCGCTGCAGCTGTTCTGACTGGCAGGGCAGCTGTTCACCTGTGCTGCACACACTGGCTGTTCTGCCATGTTCACCAGCTGCTGTGGACAAAGACAGAAAAAAGGGTGTTATACCGGATTGTTATGACCAGCCCCCAACACATCGTGTAAGTGCAACTCCTACTGTCACCCCAGAGAGGGGAGGAGAGATGAAGGATGCAAGCAGTGGGTGGAGAGGGGACAGCCTAGGTGATTGCCTTTCCAAAGACATGAGATTCCCAGCTTCCTCCTCCTGTCATTGCCCCTTCTCTTTCCTTAGACACCCAGCCACCTTCTCCTGTCATTGCCCCTTCTCTTCCCTAAGACACCCAGCTTCCTCCTCCTGTCATTGCCCCTTCTCTTTCCTTAGACTCCCAGCTCCCTCCTCCTGGCATTGCCCCTTCTCTTTCCTTAGACTCCCAGCCACCTTCTCCTGTCATTGCCCCTTCTCTTCCCTAAGACACCCAGCTTCCTCCTCCTGTCATTGCCCCTTCTCTTTCTTTAGACTCCCAGCTCCCTCCTCCTTGCATTGCCCCTTCTCTTTCCTTAGACTCCCAGCTCCCTGCTCCTGTCATTGCCCCTTCTCTTTCTTTAGACTCCCAGCTCCCTGCTCCTGTCATTGCCCCTTCTCTAAGACACCCAGCTTCCTCCTCCTGTCATTGCCCCTTCTCTAAGACACCCAGCTTCCTCCTCCTGTCATTGCCCCTTCTCTAAGCCACCCAGCTTCCTCCTCCTGTCATTGCCTTCTCTTTCCTTAGACTTCCAGCTCCCTCCTCCTGTCGTTGCCCCTTCTCTTCCCTAAGACACCCAGCTCCCTCCTCCTGTCATTGCCCCTTCTCTTCCTTAAGACACCCACCCAGCTCCCTGCTCCTGTCATTGCCCCTTCTCTTTTCTTAGACACCCAGCCCCCTTCTCCCCCTCCTCCTGTGGCTGCAGTACATTGGATACAGCGGCATGTGTGTGATTAGTAAGTCAGAAGCACTCTGTGATTGAAGAGAAGCTGCTCCACTGGCAGGGTGACGTGCTGCAGACCATTACATATACACGGAGACTCCATGCACACTGTGTGCCCAGATGTCAGCAACCTGTAGCTCTAGAGCTCTCCAACTCTCCCCGCTCTCCACCTAACCCAATACTCACTTCTGACCGGGGAGCTTGTGTACGCTGCTAGATGTGACGGCAGAGCGACCTGTACGTCACGTAGGGGGCGTGGCCGTATAAGAAGGTGAAAGGCGTTGAATAAAGGGGAAAGGGCGGAGCTAGGAGGATGCGCTGGACAGGACAAACACGGGTCAGGAGGTGCTCGGATAGTACTTCCTTTCAGCTGTCAAATAAGTTCCTTTCTTTCTCTGTGAGCATGTTTCCTTATAAATGAGACTCATAGCTTGAAACTTCCGGAAGAGTAAAGTTTTGTTGAACAGCCGACATTGTATCTGTATAACCCTTTAAAAACCAGAGCTGGGGGGGAGAGACACTGACTACGCTAGGGGACGGGAGGAGGATGTTTGGGTCCCTTAAAAATGTCCTCTGCCAAAAAGGGGTCACGAGTGGAGAAAGTTTAAGAAGGCCTGAGTAGACCACCAGGGATTATTATTATAGGGGCACTCACTAGACCAACAGGGATTATTATTATGGGAGGACACCGACTAGACCATCAGGGATGATTATTATGGGCGGACTGCCACTAGACCATCCATCAGGGATTATTATGGGGAGGGGGCACCAAACCACCAGGGAATATAATTATGGGGGGCACCCACTAGACCACCAGGGATCATTACTATGGTGGGACACCCACTAGACCTCCGGGGATTATTATTATGGGAGGACAGCCACTAGACCACCAGGGATTATTATTATTACAGTGGAGCTCACTAGACCACCAGGGATCATTATTATGGGGGGACACCCACTAGACCACAAGGGATTATTATGGAGGGACACCCATTAGACACCAGGGATTATTATTATGGGGCACTCACTAGACCATAAGGGATTATTACCATGGGAGGACACTTACTACACCACCAGGGATTATTACCATGGGAGGACACTCACTAGACCATCAGGGATTATTACTATGGGAGAACAGCCATTAGACCACCAGGGATTATTCATATGGGGGCAACCAGTAGACCACCAGGGATTATTATTATGGGGGGCACCCACGAGACCACCAGGGATTATTATGGGGGGCACCCAGTAGACCACCAGGGATTATTCCCATGGGAGGACACTCACTAGACCACCAGGGATTATTCCCATTGGAGGACACTACCTAGACCACCAGGGATTATTCCAATGGGAGGACACTCACTAGAACAGGGGTGCCCACAAGGTCGATCGCAATCTACCAGTCGATCGCGTAGCAATCACTGGTAGATCGCCATGTCCTCTCCCGCCGCTTTTCTGGATCCCCGCTGCTCTCCCCAGTGGGGATCCGAGAAGAAGTGAAGGAACCGGCGGCGGGGGACACTGGACTGGAACACAGGCACTAATGCAGGCGATCGCACTGTGGGCGAGGGGCCTGCCTACGCCCCCTCCCGCCTCTGAATGCAGGTGTTTTTTCATTGGTAGATCTCAATGAGCTCGTCATGTGAAAAGTAGATCTCCAGACGAAAAATAGTGGGCGCCCCTGCACTAGAACAACAAGGATTATTCCCATGGGAGGACACTCACTAGACCACCAGGGATTATTACTGTGGGAGAACACTCACTAGGCCACCAGGGATAATTCCTATGGCAGGGCACCCTTCAGACCACCAGGGATTATTACTATGGGAGGACACTCACTAGACCACCAGGGATTATTACTATGGGAGGGCACTCACTAGACCACCAGGGATTATTATTATTATGGGGCACCCACTAGAGCACCAGGGATTATTACCATGGGAGGACACTTACTACACCACCAGGGATTATTACCATGGGAGGACACTCACTAGACCATCAGGGATTATTACTATGGGAGAACAGCCATTAGACCACCAGGGATTATTCATATGGGGGCAACCAGTAGACCACCAGGGATTATTATTATGGGGGGCACCCACTAGACCCCCAGGGATTATTACTATGGTGGAACACCCACTAGACCACCAGGGATTATTAATATGGGGGGGCACCCGTTATACCACCAGGGTTTAATACCATAGGGGGGGGCACTCAATAGACTACCAGGGATTATTACTATGGGAGGACACCCACTAGACCAGCTGGGGTTATAGTTACTTATGGGGGGGGGGACCCACTAGACCACCAGGGATTAATATTATGAAAAATGGATAATCCGCGCTTCTGGAAAAAAGAGACTAAAGTGGAAATATGTATTGTAAATTAAAACCTAAAGCAGCTCTAAAAGAGAATGGAAGAATCCTTTCAACGATCGAGAAAAATATATATCAAAGCGCTAAAGGTATAAATAATATGAAACTTAGTGCAACCAAGTGATATAGTGAAATTAGGGTTTAGGCGGTCTAGCCCTAAACCAAGTGATATATCTTACATAGGATCATGAAAGAAACAATTAAATTAATAATTAAATTGTGCTGTGGAAAAACAGATAGTGATTGGGACAAAAAGAATTTCAACCACTGTGTAAAGACATCAAAATATATAACAATATATGAACGATCCACGCAAAAAAAATATATATAAAAAAAAAAATAATATTATGAGAAGGGCCCGGACACCCAGAGGTTATTACTTCGGGCCATATTCTATATGTATTCTCTATTAATAATTTCTACTTGCTATACTTCTTCTTAATAGTCAGTTTACATAATCTTATGTGACACGAATCAGAAATATCCTAGAATTTGGAGAATATGTAATATGTACAAACCGTTCAGATTTATTTATTCAGAAAATCTCATTTTCGGCCTTGTGGAGCTCAAGCCATTTCTAGATGTTTGTTTATATCTGATGAAAGGTCTACACACGTCAGGCTGATTTAAAATGATGACACAGTAAGAAGTTATATACAGTAGCATAATACAAAAATATCTTCTATTTTATTTGAACACGTAACAAATTATGTTTTATTTTTAAATCTGGAGTAGATTGAGCGATATTAAATAATGCGACCTGATAGATGGCTTGTGTAATGCATAGAATTAAAGGTTTTCTTTCCTTTTTTTTTTTTCTTTTACAAAAATTGTACAAAAATTACAGAATTATTTCTGTCCTCACCTTTGTAGCTCTACTAGAAGATCGATCTATCTGCTGATGTTGTCATGCAAGGTATCATGCACATGGGTATTTTTACAAAAACTGCAAAAACCACCATAGCTGGTAACTAAGTACGAGTAAGGCATTGGTTGTTTTTTGTACAGAAGCTTGAGGAATAGAATTTGATAGGGAGCTCCAATACCATTTTTTCCAGGCCGACTATGAGTACTGATACTTTTCCTCAAGTACCAATACCAAATACTGATACATTTTTTGGGGTCATGTGACAGTTTTTCTAAAATACAGACTAATGATTTTAGGACAGTGATAAAGTGTCAGGGCTCGGTCGCACCTGCAAACACTGCAATCCTGGTAGTTCTGCCGCTGACTTCTAGCTGTAAAGGGACAAATCCCAGCAATACATTACAGAGCAATGCAGAATACCACCAGCTAGAAAGGACTACAAATCCCAGCAATATATTATACAGCAATGCAGAATACCACCAGCTATAGAGGATAAAAACCCCAGTTATATATTATACAGCCAGGGATGCACCGATACCAGTATTTCGATACCAAGTAGCGATATTTTTTTTTTCGATACTCGCCGATACCGAGTACCGGAAGTCCGATTCAGGAAGCCAGGCGGTGTGTAATGACTTGCCACCTGGCTTCCTGATTAGCCAGGAAGCCAGGCAGTGTGTAAAGACTCGCCACCCGGCTTCCCGATTAGCAAGAACTATGGGGTCTATTCACGAAGCTGACGAAGGATCTAGCCGTAGCTTCGGCCGATATGCCCAGCTTCCTGATTGGCCAATTAGGAAGCCGGGCAGTGTGTAATGACGTGCTGCCCAGCTTCCTGATACAGGAAGTATCAGGCTAGGCATCGGAGCATTTGGGCAAGTATGAGTACTCGCCCAAATACTAGTATCGGTATCAGTGCATCCCTATATACAGCAATGCAGAATAATAACATCAGCCATAGAGTACTACAAATTCCAGCAATACATTGTACACCAATGCAGAATAATATGAGGCTGCATACTCTGTGTTACTCACCAGGGCTGTGTGGGGCC